TTCATATTTCATTTAAATGCTCTCATTTCACTTCTGCTATATCTACCTTCTCTGACGGATATTTCAGGACCTACAGTCTGAATTGGTTTACTTCCACTTCAGACACTGTCAAGATAAATTAGACACTAAGGGTCCATGACACCATTTGAAGCAGAAGTGGTATTAGTAGAAAATATATAAGCAATTTTATCTTTCAACATAGTGTAGCACCTTTTGAAGAACCTATTTTCATTTAAAATTAAAGTTGGAGTAATAAACCAGGATGAATTTTGAAATTAAAAAAAAATGTGATTTTATATCTTTAGGCAAGTGTGGCCTAAAAAAGGTGGGTAATAGTAAATATTTTAATCTCCTGACAATGCATCTACAAACCATTCTGCTAAATAAGACCTGGGAAGTCCCTGACTCTGAAAACAGATAGGGTAACAACTCTGATGATACATAAACTTGTTTCAGAGACAGGCTCCATTTTTGCCGCAATCATCCATCCATAGCCTGCTCATCTAACAAGGCATGTTATTAATAAAACATACTGTAGCACAAGTGCATTGCCCTACATGGTGTTTATCTTGTTGGAAACTCTAATTGTCTGAAACAATGGCCTGTGTGAAAAGATGTGATATATTATGAGCTCTGTAAAGATCAAAATAATTTAGACTAATAATGATAGTTGTTTGTGCAGGATTAAAACATGGGTTATGCTCCATAAGTTAATGACTTGGTCTTGTTGTTCAGTTTGATTTCCATTCTGGTCCCTGTGAGATAACCTTGAACTTCATGCTAAGCCTTCTGGAGAGACAAAGTTCCCTTCTGGAGAGACAAAGAATGTAAAGTTCCCTTCTCTCCCTTCTGGAGAGACAAAGAATGTAAACTCTCTGAAGGCAAAGAACTCTGGTTTATTTACCAATGTCTCCCTAGCACATTCCACAGTAGTTGGAAGACAGTCAATATTCAATACTTGCAAAATGAGAAAAAAGTATAAATATGAATATAGGAAAGAAATGGAACAAACTTCCAGGTTCAAATCAAGCCATTAGCAGAGTTCTTCCAGATTGTGACTCAAAAATAGTTCAACCCTATCTCTAAAAGGTAGGGACTCATGGGCAAGGGTGAGGTTGAAATGGAAGCAGGCCAAAGTCATGCAGCTAAAGATGCACATGTCAGCCCCACGTTGCTGAGCCAGACCTGGGTGTAGAATCCTATTAGGAAAGAATAGATCTTGCCCTTGGTCCTTACCTCCCCACTCTTACCACAGCCCCATCCAATGGGAACTGGAGGATTTCTTCAAATCTTTCAATCTGGATTTTCCTGGGACAAACGGGGCTTCAAATCTCCTCTGCTTTTTACTAACAGTTTTGGGTAGAACAGCATACAGGTAACTATGTGTAATTTAGGGACAAAGTGAGATGTTAGGAAAAGAACAACGTCTTCGACAGGTGAACAGATAGAAGGCCAGGTCCGAAGTCAAACTGCATTACATCTCCATTGAAATAGTAAAGAAAGAAGGTGGAAGAAAATATAACAATGTAGGAGCAATGAAGGACAGTAAATACAGAAACATTTTGAGGTAGAGAAAAGGAAAGATAAAGGAACACATTGACACCTAAGCCACATAATTTTTCTTTATATTTTTTCTTGCAAAAGTTGATTTTTGGATTATACCCTCCCACATACTCAAGGAATGTGATTTCTTTCCCCAGCATGAAGGGTAGATTATGTGTCTTACAAATAATTAGTTCAGGACGTGTGTGTGTGTGTGTGTGTGTCTGTGTGTATCTGTGTGTGTTTGTGCGTATGTGAGAGAGAGAGAAACATAATTCTGCCTAATGGCTCTCAGTTCTGCTAGAGACCTCTAGAAAGGGTTACACTTCCTTTATTATGGGGCAGTGAGGGGACAATATCCCTCTTCTTTGCTGGATGCTCTTGACTGTATTTGATACCAAGAAATACTGAAGCTATGATGCCACTTAGAAGGCTGGCCGATACCCCAGCTCTTATATGCATAAATAAATAAATCTTGAAAAAAAAAAAAAGAAGGGAGATGGCAAGAGAGATTACTATCATCTGGGGATGGCAGCCATAAAGAAGAAATCCATTGGGTCCTCAATGACATCCTTGAATTATTCACTTTACCAACACAGGAACCACCTTCCACCAATCTTCTGGTTATATGAGATAATAAATTCTCTATGTTTCAAAAGGCACCTCTCACCAAATGTTCTGTTGCTTACACTTTGTTGATATCTGGATCTCTAGTGAGAGCATCTGTTCTGAGTGTAAAGTGTGGGATCTGAAAATTCTGAAACATACACTTGGGCTTTAACTTAGAGCCTCCTTCCATCTTCTTTCCCTTCAACCAGTCCTTTCCTGCTCCTACTGGACTCAGACACAGAGCCAGCAACACAAAAGACCTCTCACTTTTGGAGACTTAAATGTTTGTCCCTTAGCTCCAGCTTATTGTGTTTGCCTCCTTCTTCCCTGAGGCCATGTTCTGTTCCAGGAAACTCCTCAGTCACTCCAGTCAGCACTCTTCCAGGGCCTGATCCTATCAGTTCCATAGACATATCCCACCATGTTTGAAACCCAAGCCATTTAGACTTAAGGGAGCTGTGCCCAACACAGCACCATTCGATACCTACATTTAGCTATGTTTTGTGGCCCTTGAAGAGAAATACAGAATGAAAATGGTGAAGACTTAGGTATGGGAAGTGGTACAGGTGAAGACTTAGGTATGGGAAGTGATACAGGCAAGAGAGAAGATCTGTATACAGAAGTTAGTGTAGCTTTACCAGATGTAATTTACGAAGACCATGCAGCACCCAGCACTGAACTCTGCATCTACAGTTAGCCTCAACGCAAGTGTCTGAAATTGAATTGAAATGATCAGATTGTGGGCCGAAAGTCCAATGGTTCCCTGTTACAGAATCTTCTATTCAAAATGCTTTCAATCACCATCGCCTCCCCACCACATGCACCAAAACGAAACCTTCAATATTTTCACCTTGGTTATGGAAGTTTGTTTTTGTAATAGCCTCTGGGGTTAGGAGTTGTAAAAATAGTTTCACTTAACTTACCAGAAAGAAATGAAGGCACAGAGAGATGATCTGACTTGGCCACAGTCCCAGAGGGCATCTGGGCAGAGCTCGGATTGTCTCTAAGTCCCTGGAGCTCTCAAGCCATTGTTCTGATGTCCCTGTACGTAATTGTTTTGATAGCAATTTCCCTGGTTCTCTTTCACTAGCCCGCTAATCACGCATGTCAATCACATTCAGAACCTCCATGGGCCTAAGGGTCAGCCATAGTCTCTGGAGGATGTAATTCAAATGAGAAAACAAGGCACAATAGAGTACTTTCTCCTTCAAGCAAGCGTGTGTGTCAGTTGTGGCCTCCTGAGTCCAACAATGTGTGCAGATTTTTTTTTTTTCCAGATGGAGAAAGAATATATCAAGTGCTCTGATCACAGCTGAAAACCAAGTGTGAAATGCACCAGTTTAAGATCCTGTCACTAGAGAACACTCAAGGATATTGACAGAGTCTCCACCCAATCTCTAAAGAAACAGGACAGTCCTCTTGCTTCCTCCTCAGGGTCTCTGTAGCTTCTCTCCACAGTCGGTGAGGCAAGTCTGGGCGCTGGGAGAACTTTAGCTTAAACCTTGACACAGACGCTAATCACCCTCTCCCACAGACCCCCGGGCGTTCTTTCCTCATTTCACTTTCACTTTAGACAGCAGCACCCACGGGCCCCGAACGCAGGGCTCGGGCTTGGGCCTGCAGCAGACCCCGGAGAGACGCGCGGGCCGGCGGCGGGGCGCGCGCGCGGGGCAGAGGCCGTCGGTGTGAGGCGCGGGTTCTGGAATGTGCGTGTGCGCGGCCCGCGAGCCCCGCCCGCGCGGCGCCCATTGGCCGGGGGCGCCCGGCGGGGGAAGCCCTTGGCTAATCTCCTGCCACTCAGCTCGGCCGACGTCGGGGCCGGGCCGCGCGGCGCGGAGCGCGGAAGGACAAATAGTCCCGGCGGCGGGGCCGCGCGCCCCTCCGCGACTTTGCTCGCCGCCTGGGGCTGCTGCGGCCCAGAGGCTCGGACGGCGGGGGCGGGGCGGCGGCTGAGGCCCCTCGACCGCCTCTACGCTCCGGGCGGCTACTTGGGGCGGGGGTGGGGGGGTCGTGCTCCCTGGGGGAGAGTAACTGGATTCCCGGCTCCCTTCAGTCAGGTGGAGCGGAAATCGGCGGCTGATCCTGCGTCTTGGGAGGAGCGGGCGGGGAGGAGCGGGCGGCCAGCAGCCGCTGGGGAGGGAAACTTGGTGAAAACGCCTCCGTGCCCCGAAGTGTCGGGGTGTTAGTTGCTGTAGAAAGCGGGGTGGGGACGAGGGATCAACAGAGCGTGTCCCTGGGGCCCTTTTCCGACCGACGTGTGGACTCCTGCTTCTCCAACTTGTCTACAATTCACCTGATTCCTGATCCCCGGGAAGAGAAATACTTGGAACCTTTGTCTTCACTAACACTTCATTTTTTCTTTCAGAGCCCGCGGGGGAGCTAAATTGGAGAAAGGGTCTTGTCAAATCTGGGATTGGAGGTCTCTCTAATAAATGTGTGTAACTCGGGAGAAAATAGCGTTTTTACCAAAATCATCCAGGAAGGTTGCTCAAGTCTTTGCTTTAGCCGTAGCAAATTTCCCTTAAATTCCCTTTCCCATGGGGGAGATGATGCAGGAGTGGGAGCCTTAAGCAAAGTTTTTGGCCGAAATGATAGGAATGTTCTAGGAATTTAAGAGACTTTAACTCAGCCCTCTTGTGATTTTTTTTTTCCTGTCTCATGCACGTTTTTACCTGTTAGTTATCAAACATGATTTTATTAGGGGACTTTCGATGTGCTAGATTCTATTGTACTTGGGAGGGATGCATCAGTGAGTAAAACTAGTCCCTACCCCATGAAATCTCCTCCAGTGGGGGAGAGAGACAACATTTACAAATAGATTCATAATATAATCGTGTCATGTAGTGATAAGTGCCATGAAGACAAAGCAGAGTAGGACAAACAGGATGCAGGTGGGAGAAGTGTGTTATTTTATATTTTAAGTGAGTCGATCTAGAAAATCCTCTTTGAGGAAATTATATTTAAACAGTGGTCCTAGGGGAATAAGAAAGAAAGCCAAGCAAATGCCTAGGGAAGAAGAATTTTCCAGGCAGAGAGAAGTGCAAAGGCTCTGAGGCCAGAGAGCACTTGGTGAATTTGAATCATTAGAAAGCAAGCAGGTAGATGTGAACGCTATATAATCAGTAGAAAGAACAGCTGGAAATGAGGCTGGAGCTAAATCAGTCAGTTCAGAGCCTTCTAAATCATTGCCTTAGCATTTGCTTTACCTTTTCTCTAAGCATTTTATCCATGAAATTATCCTGGCTCTCTTCTGGTGGCTCCATCAGGCAATAGATCCATTTCTTTCATGGATGCCACTTTTTCTTCCTGGTCTCTGACATTGTTAGTTTCAGCTTTTCTCTCACCTTCTGATATTCATCTACAGCTACTGCTTCATATTTCTTCTGTGCAGATCTTTATCTTGAATGTCACCTTTGTCCAAGTTCCTTACTCACATCTTCTCCTACCTCATCAACATTTGTAGTGGGATGTCCTGTCAGTTCTTCAACAATTGAATTATCTTTCAAAACTCTTCCTTCTTTCTGGCTGATACCACTGCTTTCTCTGCCATCCAAACTTGGAAACATACTTAGATGTCATTGTTGACTCTTTTCTTCTCTTCCTTTTATCCAACACTTGTCAGGGCTTTCGGTTGGTCCTTTAAAATACCTCTTGTCAAATGTCTTTCTCTTTTTACTTCATGGTCCTATTTAAGCTCTTGAACACTACCAACTAGGATTAGTTCAACAATCTTCTGACTCTCTTCTCTCTCAGCTCCAATGTAACCTGCCAGAATAATCATCCAAAACTTCACTTTTATCACATTTCTTTGTGCCTCAGTGGTTTCGTGGTTATATTTTCAAGCTCTTGCCCCAACCTAGTTCCCTCTTAGCCTATGGAACACTTCTCAGTCTACCTCTTCAATTTTAGTTAAGTTTGTTTCTCATATCCATTCATGTTCATTTATTCCTATGTACATTTGTTTATAAATCTACACTCACACTTTTGTATTGCTTCAGTAAGGCTCCATCGTTGTAAGTAACATAAAATCCAACTCAAATTGGCTTACACAGAGAAGGGAATTTATTGGCTCATGTAACTGAAAAAGTCTACATCATTTTTTTATACATGACTTGGCTGAAGAATTCAAATTACGTCATCAAAATTCAGATTCTCCCTGCAATGTTAGCATTTTCCTCTGCTAGGAAGCGCTTTATTCTTTTCTTAAACTCCATAAATGAGCAACCAGAAGATCTAGTTTCACACTGTCTTCATTGCCAGCAAAAGTGAAGTGTCCATTCCTAAGCCAATCACTATTGCCAAGAGAATGAGATGCTCAGATTAGCCTGTATTGATTCATAAGTCCATCCCAGGAGCTGAATCTATCAATAACACTTAAGTGGTATAAAAACATGATTCCTTTTAGGACAATAGGAGTATCAAAGGAAAGGTGCATATGTCCTGGGAAGTAGAAACAGCAGACATACCACACATCCCTATTCTTTTCTTGCTGTCCCCCAAATCCTTCCTGTACGTATGCTTTCAAAATTTCTGCCTATTCAATGCAGCAGTATTTTTTTACTTCCAAAAATGTACTTACTTCCTTCCCAAAGAGAAAATTCAAACTTTCATCTAGTTATTGCAGATAACTCCAAATTCAGCATAAAAGGGCCATAAACATGTTTTCCAATACAGTGATAACATTCTTCATGGTTCTGTAGATAAAGACTATATGATAAAAATTAGTTACAAAATACTTATTACTTACATAATGACAGAATAAGAAAAAGAGTGCAATGAAAACTCATATTTGGAAAAATGACTAATAGCAAACACTCAGTGGTCTACAATTCATAGCATATATTATATCTTGCTGGACAGAAATAGCAATGGTTTCCTACCATGAGAGAGGAGAAATTTCTTTGATCAGCTCATCTGGTTGCCAGATGCTCTACTATTAGAGAATGTCTCATCCGCTGTTTCTCTGTGCTGTATCTGTAATGGATAATGGGGAAGATAATCTTCTAGGGACCATCCATCTTCAGTATTCTGCTTCCTGATACAGTGGATATTGAAAAATCACTTGTTATGACATAGACAACTAGCTTTTATTTTCAAATAACTGTGATTGTCTTCTGTTATGTAGAGGTGTTGCTAGGAAATAGCTGCGTAACCAGTCTCCCCATTAATCTTGGTAAAGTCATGTAACTAATTATCTCCACTGAAATATGCGTGGGAGTGATCACGTCTTACCAGCATTGTTAGGAACTAGGTATGCCTTCTTTGGTTTCTTTTTCTTCCTGTCTATCCTGAAAGGTTTCTAGACTCAGAGGATGCCATAAGAAAGCCATGAAATGGAACGAGTCTGGGTAATTGACTGCCCTTGTAGGATATCACCTACCAAGGATACTGATATTGGACTTTGCAAACATGAAAAATAAAAATCCATTGTGTTAAGTCACTAAAACTTACTCATTACCTGTTACAACAGTTAGCGCGAACGCTAGTTATGTCTTTGTTCTTTAGACTTAAAGTTTTCCCACAATGCATTTTTTTTAAATTTCCTATTAAGCTTCCAGTCTTTTTATATCTGGTCAGTTCTTTGGTGGGGGTGGGGGGCATGGGAGGGAGAAACTCCACAGCCAGAGGTTATCTTAAGCTTCAGTCTTTGTATCTACATTCCAATATGGATATTTTTGTCTTTTAGTAAGACCTGGGGTATTCTTATAGCTTAATAGCCTCCATTTTAGTTTCTGCCTGAGAACAAATTGAAACAATAGCCACTGGTTCTGTGAAGGGTAGAGGTGGGGTGGGGAGGTTCAGTGTGCTGGAGAGAGCAGAATGGGACAATTTTTACCTTTTTAATGTTTGCGAGAGGCCTGAGTGTGTTTAGATTTCACCCAAGTGCCAGTCTTACCCACTTCTTGCTTCATTGGTATTAACATTCTCCTGGGCCTTTTTGACACTTAATAACTCATCAAGTTTCTATTATATTTGATTGTAACCTATAAACAAAAATAGCCACTCATAACAAAGCAGTAGTTTCCCCTCTCTTTTTTAGATAAGTCAAGTTAATCTTAAACTTGAGGCTTTCTTATAGGACCTTAATAAAAACCAACATGTAATAGTTGATGTATTCTAACATCTGACCATTAATAACGGGCTGTTTTACATTTCTTACTTGGTAGATACATATTCTGGATCCTAGAACAGGTGCCAGCTTAACCTATTTTGCTATTGAATTCTCAACCTAGTATAACATCAAGTGAGTCAACATTTTGAGAGCATTGTCTTATAAATCCCCACTCCTGGTACCAATTCATAAATTGTTAGAGCTATTTTAGTTGCAGGTGAAAAAGCAAAAAGCACTGACTTAAAGTGAAACTAACTTATGAAAAAAGAAGAATTTATTGGCTATTGGCTCACTTATTCTCAAGGCATAGGACTTAAGCAATGTCATTAAGAATTTTATTCCACTTTTTGGCCCTCGCTTCTGTATTGGCTTCAATCTCAGGGTCCATATGGTGGCTCCTGGCAGCTCCAGTTCACATAATCCTTAGTGTTAGCACTCTCAGTGGAAGAGTACATGCTTCTTTCCCACAAGTGCCAGCCATAGTCTCCTCATATTTCATTGCTTCTGATTAGGACGTGTGGCCAGAGGAATCCAGTAGGGCAGGCCTGATTCACATAATTACTCATTTTGTTGAGAGTGGAGTCCACTCTACCTAAAGGACATTGAATGGGGGTAACAGGAGGGAAATCAGATTATGGTTATCAGAAAAGTGAATGGATGCTGTGGTAAAAACCCAAATGTCTCCTGTTAGATACCAATGTATAGTCAGTCTTTTCTAATTACTTCACATGGGTCTTTCCTATCTCCTTCACTGGACTAAATGTCTCACAAGCGGTACTACATGTCTTAACAGAGCCAATCCAGCAGACAGTCTTTAGGTAATCGTTGACTGATGCCTCTTTTTCTAACACTGAAAATGGCACAGTCAAAGAAGTAAAAGAGCTTCATAAAGGGACAATTTACAAAGGTGTGGGAAAAGTTAAGGGAACCAACTGCAATGGGAAAATACTTAAGGACTGGTAACAATGAGAATCCCCATCCTGCAGAAAAAGAGGAAGGAAACTTTTAGCAGAACACAATAATAGCTGTAGTTTGGAAGGGGATACCTGGCAAAAGTTGTAACTAAAAATAGAGAAATGCAGCCCAGGTGAAAATGTGACCCAGCAAAAGACTGGGAAATAAACATTGGTACCTCCCAATGGCCAATTGCAATTAGAAGCTAGAGGGTTTCCCTGGTACTGTCTGTAGAGGTCGGCCTCCAATAGAGAGCAAGACAAATAGGATGAAAAATAGATCTGGAGGAACATATGGAAAATAACTAAGACAACTCTGCTACTTACTATTCCTTAGAGTAACCCTAAATAAAAACGATTTCTATTTGATGTTAACCATATAGCCTAGATTTACCAGCAAAATACACCTGTTGTTAAGTATATAACTAATGTGGTTTAATTTTTATAGCATTTAAGTATAACATTCGTAAAGCATAAGAAGTCTTGTGTTAACCTATATAGTTAAAAAGCTATCATCATTGTATTGATATGGAACTCCTCAAGAATATCGTACCTGGCAATCCATCAGAAAGCCCTGGCACAGCACTTGTCAAATAGTGACAAATTTGATAAATGTTTGATGATTTGAAGAATGATTAAATGAATAAATTAAAGCATTTTGAGCCAGACTCTACATAGGAAATTAAATGGGTTCTCCTTGTTAGAAGTTGATGCTAACTATATAACATCTACTAATCTTGTGTTTTAACGTTTGACGTTGGCTTCCTAGCTGTGATTGAGGATTTATCTCATACAAAATGGAATTATAGTAAATTTTCTTTGTCAGTCTTCAGAAGGAAGGAGATCTACAATTAACTATATACTAATAAACTTACTATAAAATCCCTTTCAGTAAATATACTATTATTTTTTAATCTAAAACTGGGTTTCCTCATAGAATTGTCATTCAAATATAAGAAATATAAATATAGTTGCTTCAATATGTAAGCTGGCATTATCAAATGTCAGTCCAAACTGTTTTTCTAACAGATTTCAGTTAAGCCAAAAATCCATGCTTCTGTTATTTGGCAATCCTAAATAGACAGGGCTTAAACAGTTAAGCGAATACATACATATGCATCATATTCATCTATTCAAACAACAAATAGTTTTGAGTACCTGCAATATATCTGCCCTCTTGGAACTTACAGTGAGAACTGTGTTTTTCAAACTTCAATGAGGATATGAGTCACTGAATGGTCTTGTGAAAATGCAGGTTCTGTTTGAGCTGAGACTCAAGACTGCATTTCTAACAAACTCCTGGTTAATATTGATTCACAGACCAATGTGGTCCAAGGACCAAAAACTGAATAGCAAGAATCTGATAAACTCATTTAACCCCCACAATAATTTCAATATGTATCAGTAGTTTTTATTTTATTATCTCGATTACCTACTATATACAAAGCACAAAGCACTTAGTGCTAAGCATTGTAAAGACCAATTAGACATAGGTGTTTTGGAAACTCATTGTACAGCAAAAAAAACCTAATATAATAAATAATTATGATGCATGATTCTAATTACATAAAATATCCAGAAAAGGTAAATCTATAGATATAGAAAAATTGGTGGTTGCCTGGGTCAGCGGTGAGATTAGGGATTAACTGTGAATGGTCTGAAAGATGTTATTCAGGTGATTAAATTGTTTTAAAACTGGATTATAATAATGGCTGCCCAACTTAATAAATTTGCTAAGAAAATCATTAAATTATTGACTTGAATGGATGAATCATATGATAGGCAAATTGTACTCCAATAAAGTTGTAAACATAGCTATAATAGGTGAACAAATGTAATAACCATAAAACATGTTGTCTTAGCCCCCCTTCAATATTCAAGGAAGTGGAACTCACAGAGGCCAAGGTTACACAACTAGTTAAGGTCATATGGCATATAGTTAGCATATAACTCTAGTCCTATTGGGCCAAGCCTAATAATTGCTAGAAATCTCATCACCAGAGAAAGCCTAGAGAGCTGTGTCAGGAAATAGATATTCTTCCACCCAGTAAAGGTTGCACCTTTCTCAGTATAACCTTCACACTGTGAATCAAGATTGTCCTGAGTGATGACTTTAGTGGCATCCTGTACATATACTTTCAGCTCATGGGTTATGCAAGTCAGTTAGCTTCTGGCAGACCCATTGACTACACTGGGGTTCTTCGTTTCAAACAACAAAAATAAATTCTGACTGATTTAGTAGGCTACTAGCAGAATATTATGAGAGTTGAGATCAAGTTCAAAACTATATCAAAATTATGCTACACCTGTTCCTGGCAGCCTCTAGAGAACACTATTATTACTGACACTGTTTAACTTACTAGACTGTCCCCTTCCTTTGCCACAACCAGTGCCCTGGAAACTCAATTTGGCCATAACTACTTTGTTGCAGGAGAGAGAACTGACTTCTATCCTTGCTTCTTTGTCTTACTAATTCCTGATTCAAGGTCATGCAGATGATTCTATTGGCTGAGGAGCGGTCAGGCACTTGAATCCTTGCTGCAAGAAGGATGGAAAAGTGAGTATTCGACAATTTCTATCAGTTTCTAGATAGTGGGAACTGAGCTTAACTTCCTTTCCAAGACTCAAACATCAGTGATTTTTTCAAGCTCTGAAAGTTCAGATTCTCAGTCCTCCAAGCCACAACAACGAAAGTTGCCTTGTGCAAATAGTTGGTTTTTTTTTTTTTTAAAGATTTATTTATTAATGCATACGAGAGCAGGGGTGTAGGCCAGAGGTGTGGGAGGGTGAGAAGATTCACCACAGAGTGGGGAGCAGAACAGGCAGATCCACTAAAATACACTGCTGAAGAGAGCAGCAGGGTGAGACAGGAGAGGTCTGCTGTGCCATGTGGGTTAGCTCCCTGGCCAGGGATCAAACTCGTGCTGCAGTGGCTGCTGATAGTTTCACAGTGCTGAGACTTAACCCCTTGTGCCACCAGGGAGGCCCCGCAATTAGTTGTTCGTGAAATAGCAGCAATGACATTACAAGAAGAAGCTTGTTAGAAATGCATGATCTAAAGCCCTATATCTGCAGAATCAGGATCTGCTTTCTAAGAAGTAGCTGAGATAATTTGTATGCACATTAAAATACAAGAAATGTTGTTCTACATTATACAACTTGTAATTCTTTTTAATTTCCTAAGATCAGTCACCATTAGGCTTTATTCATCCATAGTATTGCCAGATTTAGTGAAGGATGCACAATTCAATTTTAATTTAATTTTTTTCAAAGATTTATTTATGTGTGGAAGAATTGGGGTGTAGGCCAGAGGTGCGGGAGGTGGGGGGGTGAGAGAATTCACCAGCGACAAGGTGGGGAACAGAACAGGCAGACCTGCTGAAATACACTGCTAAACGGCACAGTGGGCATGACAGGAACCCACATACTCCACCATGTGGGTTAGCTCCCTGGCCAGCTGTGATAGCTTGATAGTACTGTGTCTTTAACCCTTGAGCCACCAGGGAGGCCCCAATTTTAATTTTTTTAAAGATTTATTTATTTATACAAGAACTGGGGTACAGGTCAGAGGCGTGGGAGGGTGAGAGAATTCACCAGAGACAGAGTGGGGAGCAGAACAGGCAGACGGACCAAAGACTGCCAAGGGGAGCAGCAGGCGAGGCAGGAGAGGTCTGCCGTGCCATGTGGGTTTCTCCCTGGCTGGCCGGGAATCGAACCCTCACTTCAGAGGCTGCGGGCAGCTTCACAGCATGGCGCTCAACCCACCGTGCCGCCGGGGAGGCCCCCCAATTTTAATTTTAGATTAAAAAAATCATTTTAAGAATAAATATGTTCCATGCAATATTTGGGACATACCTATGCTAAATGTTTTTCCTTGTGAATCTAAAATTCAAGTTCAACTGGGCATTCAGTGTTTTGTTTTTTAAAGATTTATTTATTTATGCATACAAGAACTGGGGTTAAGGGCCAGAGGTGCTAGGGTGGAAGGATTCACCAGAGACGGAGTGGGAAACAGAATAGGCAGACTGACTAAAATACACTGCTGAGGGGAACAGTGCCATGACAGGAACCCACATGCTGCACATGTGGGTTAGCTCTCTGGCTGGCCAAGGTGGGGATCAGGGATGAACTAGTGCTGCAGAAGCTGTGGATAGCTTCACAGTGCTGTGCTTAATCCTTTGCATCACCAGGGAGGCCTGGCATTCAGTATTTTATCTGGCAGTCATTTTCCTCCATAAAACTCTCTCCCTACAATAAAAAGAAATGAACAAAAAGAAAATGTAATTGCCAACAGGAATGCATGTATACCACTTTTGTATTTGGGCATGATAGACCGTAAGTATGATGATAGAAGAACATGAAAACTCTATGCTGTTTCAAGCCTACTCAGAGTCCTGTTAATGCATTTAATGCTTGAGGTCCCCTATAACATGAAGGGTGAATGTTCTGTCAACCCGAAATGCTAACTGCTCTGCAGGATAAGAATTATTTTTTATAGACTTATAAACTGCAACTAATTTCATTTAATGAATTTTGACTTGATATCACCTTTCTCCCATAGGACCTGACCACATGAACTGAGTAAATACAGGAAATATGTAATGACAATCACTACTGGTTTCCCTCTGGAGACTACCATTATAACTTTATTTTCTTCCTAAAGAATTGAGTTGCTGTTTATGCCCAGGAGTCTTAGAAAAATTACTTTAGAACTATGATTGGGAAAGAGGTAGCTTTTAGGACATATCAATTAGAATTAGAAACATCACAAACAAAAATTAAAGAAAAGTTTCAGTACTTCAAATGTATACCAATTGCATTTATTTGTAAGATGGCTTAACTCACTTTAACAATTCAGACAGTCCAAATGTTTCTAATTAGTCAAAGAGGGCACTTTTTTGGGTGGTTGGGAGAGAACAACTTTCCTTTTGCAACCTTTTGCATAGTTCTCAGTAAGCTACCTTCAGTATAATTGATCCACAAAAGATCTTCCATTTTTCATACTCCTGTTAACATATCCTTTTGTCTGGGGAAGAAATTTCCAGGGACTGTGAGAGGAATCACAGTTCCAAGAAGAAAAAAATATCTTCAGGGGCTGATGAATGTTAGGGAATAAACACACATATCTCCCCACCACCAGACGTTTATATTCTGTTTGCCGCCACTTTTTAATTAGTTGTTTGCAGGCTCCACCCTATAGGCAGATGTCTATAATACTTGAATGATGCACCTGGGTTTATGAACCAGGCCATAAATGAACTCACTGACTAGTTTTTCTTTAAACAATAAATAATGAAAAAAAAAAAAAACATAAGTACACCAGTTACTATAGGTGCTATTTCTATAAAATAGTGAATGCCTTAATTTATAATGGTCAGTAGTTAAAAACTGTCTAAATGTTCTCCCTCCCAAAGAGTGAGCTGATTAAATAAAAATATATGCTTAAGATGCAGCCATTATAAGTCATGTTTTCTGGGATTCCAAGGGCTGACAGGAGAAAGAAATTACAAAATGATTGGAAATCTTGGCATACCATATTAGACTTCTGGGTCATGTTAAAAGGGATGCAGAAGCCAACTTAGTTGAAGAGGAGATAATGAAAGCATGAATTGTGATAACTAAAAGAGTACAGCATAGTAGATATAATTCAATCTATTAGCCCAGATTTATACTTTAAAGCAAAAACTGTTGGTGCTCTTGGAAAATGCAAAGAGCCTGAGTCATTATTTTGAACACTTGTAAATAAAGAACGAATCAAGAAACTATCTCACTTTTTAAAAAATATTTATTTTGCAGAAGAACTGGGGTGTAGGGCAGAGCTATGGGGAATGAGAGGATTCACCAGAGACAAAGTGGGTAGCAGAACAGGTGGATTTACTGAATTACACTGCTAAGGGGAGCAGGGGGTCAGATAGGAGGCGTCTGCTGTGCCCTATGTGTGTTAGCTTCCCTGGCTGGGTGATAGAACTCAGGCCGTAGGGGTGATAGCGCTGAGACTTAACCCCTAGGTCACTGGGGAGGCCCTAACTCACTTTTCATAAACAAAATTTCCTTCAGGGTAACCTAATAGTTGACGAAAGAAATTGCTCTTTGCACAGTATTCCAGTTAATAATGTTGCAGAAATGATGTTATCATATTGTAATCCTTAATGAAATAATAAAGCAAGGAAATAATCAGTGATGGCTAACATCACAAAAACAGAGACAGATAGAAATAACTTGCCTTTTTATAGACATCACAAATGAAATATTCTATCAAAAAGTTAAACTAGAATTTGATCAAGCCTATATATCTAAATAATAATTTCAGAAAATACAGGAGATAAACATATTAAGTGATATCAAAGGAGTTACAATTAGAAAATCCAGACTATGGGGCCTCCCCGGTGGCGCAGCGGTTGAGCGCTGGGTTGCGAAGCTGCCCGCGCCTCTGCAGCGCGGGTTCGATCCCTGGTTGCTCCCCGGCCACTGGAGGAGGGTCCCACATGGCGCGCAGACCTCTCCTGCCGCCCGCTGCTCCCCTCAGCAGTGTACTTCGGTCCTTCTGCCTGCTCTGCTCCCCGCTCTGGCTCTGGTGAATTCTCTCACCCTCCCGCGCTTCTGACTGTACCCAGTGCATGTATAAACAAAACAAACAAACAAACAAATAAATAAATAAATAAAACATGCCTCTATTAAAAAAAAAAAAAGAAAATCCAGACTATGAACAATCCTATAGGACAAAGAATATCATTTGTTTTAATAATTCAATTGAGAGAGAGGGGCAGGGAAGCCATAGATTAACAGACTTAACACATATCAAAAATTTCACTGTGTGGAACTTATTTGAATCCAAATTTGAACAAACTAACCTGTTCAAAAAGTTTGTGAGGTAATTGTGATAAATTTGAACACCAAGTGAATATTTGACGATATTAAAGTAGTTTAACAAACACTGAATGTGATAATGATAATGTCATTTTATTTTTTAGGAGCATCCCTATCTTTAGAAGTGAACTAATGTGGGTGAAATGATTTGATGTTTGCTTCCAATTAATCTGGAGGTGGGTATATTTGAATAATCTTTGATTGGGTGGTAGGTTCAAGGAGATTCATCATACTATTCTTTGTTTTTGTATGTTTGAAATTTCCCATAAAAAGGTTTTAAACTGTGTTTCGCGCATGGTCTCAATTTTTAAGATTGTAATGTAAATGGAGAGAATTAGTTCTAACTTGAGCAAATGTCCTCATGCCACTTTCTCACCCATTAGCTTATGCTAATCATCCTAATGTTTCAAATAATTCTTAAGTTTTCCATGTGTATCTATCTCTAAATCAGTTCAATTCTAGAGGTGGGACAAAAAAAAAAAAAAAAAGAAACTTGCAGATCATGCTATTGATGGGCCACTTGCATTCCTATGCTCTGTACTTCTGGCATGGATACTTTTGAGATGGTCGGGAATAGAAGGCTGATCTATAGTGAAGAGATCCCTGCTTCTCTGAGAGATGTTAACGGACCCTGTGGGGATAAGCCTATGATTTTGATCTCATTAGCATTGTGAGCTCCATTCAAGTGTGACTGACAGTCATACAAGTCAATACAGGAGCACTTTGGGAGAGCCAAGTTAGAGAATTTTTTTCTTATAGATTGGTACTTCTGTCCTTACAGAGCTCATAAGAAAAATCAGAGCACTTTTGAGTCAACAAATGAATGTAATGAGGCTGTGTTTCTAAGAAGATGGCATTATTCGGCTAAAAGAAAAATGAAATACTAAATTGCTTGTTCAAATAAAAATGTTACTGGAGGAAATGGAAGTGTTAGCTAGACGATTACTAATGCTTTCATTTTCACTTTCTTTCATTCTAGCTCAAGTCATATCTACAGACTAAATGCAACATCAGGGATTTAGAAAGCAAATATTTATATCTTTGCCAGTTTTATCCCATCAAGTATACTTTTAAAAAAATAGAGTAAAATCATGGAACACTAATCAGACTATTCTAAATAGTATGGAAGAAGGTAACCAGAGACATGGGCAATAATGAGTCTCATTTAGTATTTTCCTCAGGTTTCATTCCCAATTCCAGAGAAAATAAAAGATTTTTAAAAGAATCAATGGCATTCTTTTCTCATGCTATGGAATAGTTTGAAAGCTTAAGGTGGTAATGTTTAAAGATTAGAAACAAAAAAACCTCGTGGGCCTATACTGCAAATGAAACAGGAAAAATTATAGTGAGATATTTTGGATTTACAGAAGAATGCACCAATCACCAAATTGCCATGTGTAATTGTGTAAAAATGCTGGTGAAGTGAAATTAGAAATTCAACAGATGGTCCTAAAATGAAATATTTCTGCAGCATATGAGAACAATTGTTCCCTAACTCCTCTCAAATCAAAGTATGGGTAATTAGGTGCAATATAAATCATCCATACAAAGTCAATCAATTAATTTCATCAAATAACTCAGGGGAATGAACTCAAAAAAAGGAAACAGTTACTGAAATTAAATTTCTCATTTAATTAATAAACAATTACTATGGTTATTGGGGTTTGAGAGAAGATACAGATATCAATAAGAAAGTAAAATAAAGAAAATACTGTACAGCTTTTGTCCTGCAGAGCTCTTAGTTGAGAGAAACTGGGCATATGCACCCAAGAATTTAAAAATATTGACCATATATTCTCTTGATTTTTTTTGATAAATGTTAAACAGTAGATTGACTATGGTACACTGAATTTGCCTAGGATACTAATGACTTGTAAGAAAAGATTTATGAGATATGACATGTGGTAAGAGTTGAACATGGTATCACCTAGTGTCTTTTTTCTTGGACTTTTTACCAGCAATAACTTTTAATTTTAGCAACTACAGATTAAAAACCTATATACTACAGGGCTGGTATATGATCAGAATAGAAAGTATGGCTGTTCTCAAAATAATTTTGGGTTTTTTTTTTATCAATTTCAGACTTTTTAAGTGATGAAGAATAAGAATGAAACTGAGAATAAAAAGAATCTTATAGAATCTTAACCTCTCAACTTAATATTCTCCTGATTCTCATTTTCTTTCATCTTCCTCCTTTCTTTTTTAATAATTGAGCACAATGATTTAGTATATACTGTTGACCCTCTGCTTTTGTATATTCTGTATCTGTGGATTCTACCAACTGCAGACAGAAAATATTTTTTGTAGTTAGGCCAACGATGGTTCCATCTGTACTGAACACATACAGACTTCTTTCCTTGTCACTATTCCCTAGAGAGTACAACATAACTATTTACACAACACATTGTATAAGGTATTTTAAGTAAACTAGAGATGATTTAAAACATATGGGAAGATTCATCTATGAAGAAATAAAGTGAAATTGATGCTGAAAAAAGCAAATGGGAAAATGTGTGTTGGTTTTATGCAAATAATGCCTTTTTATGTAAGGCACTTGAACATTGTATATTTTTGAGATCCATATTGGTGTGTGGTGGGCAGGGTTTGTCCTAGAACTAATCCACGAGAATACCAAGGGATGACAGTATAGATATCTAATTCAGAACACTCATGACAATTAATGATTTGGGGACAATTGTATCATCAACTGGAAGAAATAAGCTGACCCCCTACCTCATTTCTTACAACAAAATAAATTCCAAACAGGTTGAAGACTTAAACACACACACCTCAAACTACAAATTACTAGAAAAAATTGTAAGTGAATTTTCTCTTTTATTATCTCAAATAGAGATGACTCCTAAGTATGACATACAACTCAGATAGCCATATAGAATGAATACATTGAACTTCATAATACATTTTTATTTTTTTATTAAGAATTATTTTATTTTTATACAAGAACTGGGGTGCAGGATAGATGCGCGGGAGGGTGAGAGGATTCACCAGAGACAGAGCCGGGAACAGAACAGGCAGACTGAAGAAATACACTGTTGAGGGGAGCAGCAGGCAAGACAGGAGAGATCTGCTTTGCCATGTGGGATTCTCGCCGGCCGGCTGGAATCGAACCCGCGCTACAGAGGCTGTGGAGAGCTTCACAGTGCGGCGCTCAACCACCTGTGCCACCAGGGAGGCCCCAAATACATTTTTAATAATTACATGCAAAAAATAAAGATAAATTAAAACTGAAAATATTTACAAGTACTATCCAGAAAGAGAGGTAGGTCTGATATATTAATAGCTTTACAAATCAATAAGGAAAAGATCAACAACCAAATGACAAAATGGCAGCTACAGTCTGTTTTTTGTCTTGTTGCTTGCTTCTGAACCTATCATGAGCAGGTGCCTAGGTCATAAGTCAGTGTACAGCCTGCAAAGTGTCTTTGACTCTGACTTATATGTTAGGAAGGCAAGAGTCATCTCCTGGGAGTGTCCTTTAATACAGAAAACCCACTTAGAAGATGGTGGACATTCAGTATGACATTTGTCTGTCAAAGTCCAAATATCCATTGCCATTCTTCTGCATGCTTCATTACGTTGTGGTCAGTAGGAAGTTACGGTTGCAAACATTTGTCATTTTTCAAAAGCCTGGCTACATACTTGGAAATTCAGCTGCTAATTTCAAGACTAAAGTGCTTTCTGCAATTCAATCACTTTTTCTTTTTATTCATAGACTCAAGCCCAATATTTATTAAACACATATACGTAATACCTGGCACTGTCTTCTAGGTGTTAGGAATACACTAATGAACAAAAAACATACATCCTGTCCTAACAGAGCTTGCATTCTAATTAGATGTCTTCAGACCTTGTTGGGATTCCATCAGTTTTTAAACTTTTATTCCAAACAATGACAAACTAAATGGAGAGAGCAGAATAAGTAGAATGATATTAGTTAGCTTTTCGAAGATAATTATAGTTGCTTTAATTCTTGGGCACCTGCCTCCTCAAATACATGGCAAAGATATATTCCAAAAAGGTATTTGCTGGGTGAGATGTTTCCTTCACTGAGGTGAATAATTGAGATCTGACCGTAAGTGCTGTATTTTAAAAAGAATATTATAATTGCAGAAGATGATTCTTTGCTGCCTAAAGTTCAGAGGACACTAATATTTTTGAAATACTTTAGGGATGTTTAGAAAATAGCAGAAATTATATCTGTACTTGCAGGTCATACTGTAGTGTGTTCTCTCTGGAATTCTGCTGTATCCCTAGTCTGTGCTGACTGAAATAAGAAAAAAAAGCAATATTTAGTTTAAAAATGACACATAGAGTAAATTTGGAAATAACTTCCAAATCATTAAGTCACTTAGCAAATGCTTTTACTTCAGAATGTTTCAATGCCTTTTTCATTGTCCTCTAGCTTCCAGTGTTGTTGAACAATGGATGTCATTTTGATTTTCAGTCCTTTATATTTGTCCCATTTCATGTTCTCTCTGGAGGCCTGAAGGTTTTCTCTTTGTCTGCTGTGTGCTCAAATTTCCTGGTCACATGCTTTGATATAGATCTATTTTTATCATCGTGGTGGGAACTTGATGAACCCACTTAATTTGGTAACTTACGTGCTTCATTCTGGAAATTTTTCTTAGATTATTTCATTGATGATTTTTTTTGTATCCTTTTTGGCTCTCTTTTTGAAGACCTTTTTATTTGAATTTTGAACGTCCTAAAGTGGTCCTCTTTGTCTTTTCGCTCTGCTTTCTAATATTTCTTAACTCTCTCTTTCAGTCCTTTTTCAAGTTTTTTCTCCATTTATACTCTCCTGTTTGTCAATTCTAAATGCCTTAAGTGTATTTCTCCTGACAGTGGTTTCTGCAAATATTTGATAATCCCTGGCTCTCTGCTCATTTTTAAAAAAGATCTATTTATTTATGCATACAAGAACTGGGGTACAGGTCAGAGGTGTGAGTGTGGGGGGTGGTGGTGAGAGGATTCACCAGAGACAGTGTGGGGAAGAGAACAGAGAGAATGACTGAAATACACTGCTGAGGGGAGCAGTGGGTAAGTCAGGAGAAGTCTGCTGTGCCATGTGGGCAGCTTTCTGCCCGGGGATCGAACTCATGCCACAGTGGCTGCCGATAGCTTCATAGGTTGCGTCTTAACCCCTTGCGCTACCAGGGAGGCCCCCTCTGCTCATTTTTAACACTAGTGCAACAAAGTGCTGATGGAAGTACATGGAGCAAATGGAAAGGAGTTTGTTAGCTCTAAACCTCCCTGTAGAGCGATTGGTTTGGGCTTATGGTTGAAGAACCATCCAAGCAAACATCTTTCCATCTTCCGTCTTGATTGCCAGATTCCACATAGAAGGATCTTTGCCTCTTCTCTCTGGATGCTGAAAGTCTGGCTGCAGGAATCTGGGAGTCAATGTGATAAAGACAGCTGAGTGCTTCAGGGTCCAATACACAAATGTTACTCCCATTAGAACTGCTTCACCTTCTGCAGAGAGTAGTAAGTTTTCAGTCTTTTGCCTGGGTATGAAGAGGCATTTATCTGACAACATAGAGTTGGGAAGGGAATCTGGGGGTCTGATTGCTTCTTAAACAGACTTCCAACCAATCCTCTTCATAGTATTTCACCCTTTCCTTACCTTTACTTTAAGAGACACCAGGAGTTAGCTGGTTATGAGTATTTTGGTGACATTGCAATGTATATGGGTTTGTCTCTTGATTTTCCTCATTGTTGCAATAGGATTCAGTTTTGTTAGTGTACTGTTTTTTGTCTTTTTGGTTTGTTTGTTTGTTTTAGATCAGCTATCCACTTTTCCAGCTAAGCAGCCCCTCAAATTTCATTGCCGTGCCTCCCTGGTGGCCTAGGGGTTAAGTCTCAGAGCTAACACCCCTACAGCCTGATTTAGATCCTGGGCCAGGGAGTTAACCCAAATGGTGAAGCAAACCTCTCCTGTCTCTCTGATTCCCCTGTCTCTGGTGAGTCCTCTCACCCCTTGCACCTCTAGCCTACTCCCCAGTTATTCTAAACAACAACAAAAAAACCTTAAAAAAATTCATTGCCATTGTCTCCTCTTGTCTCCCCATGCTTTCAATCTTTAAAGTCATTTTATACATAACATGTTGTATTGGGCTTATTGTAACTTAACACAGGGGTGGGAAAGAGAGATATAGATGATAGATATAGTATTAAGATAGATATTAGTATTAAGAAATGGCATTTCTTAATACTATTCGTTTTTTGAAGGTTTGAAAATTTCTGTTTTCTAGAAAATATTTTTAAATAATTTAAAAATATTTTTTGAGCACTTACTATGTACCAGGCACTGTGTCAATACACATACAAGAAAAGAGGATGGGGAAAAGAGAGTATTATTCATTTTACTTTACCTATTATACCAAGTTTGTAAAATTTAAATTCTATGGTTCTCCAGGTTGGATATTTTAGAGCATATGACAGGTTTTTTTTTTTTTTCCTTTTCTGACCCCTGAATTTGTGTTGATTTTGTGTAAATGTGTTTTTATGAAATATGAAAGAAGAAATCCTAGAGAGGAAATGACAATGAATGTAAGATGGACCATTAGGGGGTATCTCTTCAAATCTGAAAATAGCATTCAAACAAGTCATTTAATGTTTTAAATAATAAATGACACTAGCAAAGGGTAGAGAACGCCTTTCATCTACCAACAGAGATAAAAGGCAAAATCTTTACCAGGAAATCACACAAAGGCGAGGATTCTTGATGACTGATAGAAGAGTGAATTGTTGGTGACTAGTAGAGTGTGGCTTATGATAGAAGGTAAAATTTTGGCTTTCTAATTCATCAGTGAGTGATGTGTGGTCATGAAATGAAGGTAATACTTATTAAACGAATTGTTAAATAAAATTGTTCCCCTGAATTATTGTGACTTGGTTATTTTATCCTGAGCTTTTCAATGAAGCCTCCTTGTTCTATGTAGCAAGGTCAGCAAGATCAGTAGCTCAGATATGAATTGCAAATGACATAAACATTTAGTTTTTATACCCATTTTGTCTTCTACTTATGTTAGAAGTGCTGTAAATTCATTGGTGAGAACAGACTCCCCCTATTAAGAGTGATATATGTAAAGACT